TCTCCCTCAAACAGTTTAAAGGTTAGAGATCCCTTGTTGCGCATTCACTTGCCTCCATGGCTAAGTGGCTTAACCCCAACTATGTCGTGGACACCCTCTAACGGAGTGACTTTGACATAGTCAAAGATCAAGGACCTAACCACAAGACAACTATGATGCCTCAGGTCAAAGGACTACTTTGCATTATCCCAACCATGAGATCTCATGTGACATGAGTATGAGAACTCTTTGTTGATCGTGTTCAGTGGACTCATTCTCTATTGAGCACCTACATGCTTGTCTTGGTGTCAGTCGCACCAATGACTCGAGACCAGTCACTCTCCCTAGGAGAAGACATAACACGTACTGATCTTAACGGACTGTCAATGCCCAATTGGCAATCCTATGATCAGAAATGTTTAGGATATGTATACGGAAGAGAATGGTCTCATGAATCTAACTTCTTTAGATCGCATTCTCCCAATTACATATTCCTTACACTTATCGTTTAAGCGTATAACATTTATATGAGATGGCTTCAAACAATAATCTTTGCCCTTTAAATTAAACTATATTAGTTTAACATGTGAAATGTCCGTAAAGTATCATCATATGATTGGTTTTAGGGCACATTTCCAACACGATCGAGATTTAAGCTATAGGTTCCTCAACCACTGGGATGCTGACTTGTTCAACCAAGACATTAGCTTGCGTCGTTGGTTGAATAGTGGCCGTCTAATTGATATTTGGGGCCGAAGAACCTTAAAGTGTCCCTGTTTGAACCTTGACACCAAGAGTTGGATAAGGGGCATCAGGAGTTGAAGTCCTTGTCTTCTAGCTAAAGAGAACAAAGATCACACGTTCCCCCTTCTTAGCTTTCTTCTTTAGCCATTGGGTGGGTTGTGCAATGTCACCGGTCGTCTTGGTTTAAGGATGAGGTCGTTTTCCCATCGTCGTCCAATGACAACTTTTGTTGAAGTTAGCATAATTGAAGCTACTCTGGAAGGAAAAGCCAAGATAGTAGTGGTCTTCGCAATAGCAGTACCCGTTGAAGCTGGAATTATTTTGGGAATAACGGTTGTGGCAACAACAACCTTCTTCGGAGGAGGGGCGATCTTTTTTCTGGCTGCAACAATTGCAACCAATTCGGCCCATTTATTGAACGGCTAGCTGAAAAAACTAATCAAGAGTTAGGTCAAAGATGTTTGGTTGAATATATATGCAACCAAAACATTAGGAATAAAAAGTACCTTGAGTCGTGTCTTTGGATTTTGGAGCAAGAGTTTTCTTCGGTCGGTCGTCAAAGATTTTATTTACGATTTCTTTGACTAGCGCGCCAAAGAAATCTTTGGTATAGATATCCCACTAGTTGGCGAAGGTACTAGATCCATGGGTTTCAGGAGTATTTGGCCGAGGGCGAAATTTAGTACATCGCTCTTGAAACTCTTTTTCCACCTCTTCACACTCTCGCTCTAAGGAGCCAGAGATTCGTTCTTAGCTTAGGAGCGAGGGAGAAGTGAGCAAAGGCACAGGGCAGCCATGGAGATAGCCGAGTTGTCGAGCCATGAAGTGGGGGTGGTAGACTTCCTAACTAGCTTGCCGAGCGTCACAACCAAAGGGGATGTCGCAAGCGAGCACCAATGATCCCCAATTCTGTTGTAGATCAGCATCTTCTATCTCCTCCCATGCAGATGTGGGAAGTCTGATGGAGGAGGGATAGTCTCATTGACGACAAATCAAGAATTCATCGTTGGTGAGGTTGTCTAGGCCGAAGAAAGGCTTGTTGAAGGCCTATCGCTTTAGAAGAATCGAAGTAGAACTTTTCTAGCCTTAGAATGGTAAAGTAAACCTGCTGCCAAAGTTGGAAAACCCAGAGTGGGCCGTTCTGGTACAGGTCAATTTTCTCGACCGTTGTCTCGACTAGGCAGCGTGTGAGGTTGGCAGGGATGGCGGGACTGAGAGCCAAATGGTGACCGCTGGCCAAGGCTTCAGCCACTAGCATGTTCTCGACGAGGCACTTGTTCAACTTGGTACAAAAGATGAACTTATTGTACCAATAGAACAAGAAAGCCTCGTGCTCTCTTTTCTTGAGGCCTTCTTTTTCTTGACAGTCAAAGTGGTTGTAAGTGTGTTGTAATTAAGGAAGTTCTTGTTTAGCTTATTCACTTCATCATTTGGCACTTTCTTTTAGTCGTCTTTTTTCAGGGCTTCGAAGGCACGTTCTTCGAATACCGCTTTCAGGTCCAAGTTGAATTGATACCAAGAGAGGGCAGTCTTAACTAGAAGACCAAATGGAGAGGTGCCAATGATGACTGTCACGTCAAGGACAGTTGGTCCTATGGGGCCAAGGGGGAGCACTATAGTGTTGGTGGCCGAGCACCAGAAGTTCAGAGCGGCTATCAAGAGTTCTTGGTTCATACTAATCTTGATGGCGGAGAGCTTAATGGCGTCGAAGATGCCAAGTGATTTCTAGGCAGCGCCAAAGTGGGGCTCTATTCAGTCAACCCAAGTAGCCCACACTATGGGGGTCGACGACCAGGCTCCTTGAGGTTTAGCTGTTTCCTATTTCGACCAATCATGGCCCTGAAACAAGAGACTAGGCAAATCTTAGTGACAACTTCTGGGAGGTCATCTTTGAACAGAGGGCCCATAATCTGGTGAGTGGCAACTACATCCTCTTCAAATTGGAGAGGCTTGATGGCACCCCAATCAATGAAGTCGTGACATTTGTCACACTCCTCCGCGAGCTTGGTAACGAAAGTTGGCAGCCATTGGAGTAAAAAGGTGAGGTTTTTGAATTTTTGGGTTTCGAGTAATCAGAACAAAATGGCAAGAATTTTGGGATTTTTGAAAGCATAAAATTTGAAAGAGGCTAGAGCTAGTATTTATAGACAACTGGAGAAGAAGATCAATAGTCTCAAATTTGAGGGTTGAAGGGAAAATCCGACCGAAATCATTAATAATCATTGGAAAATTCAAAGATCCAGGCGAAAAAGCTGAAAAACATGTAAATCGAGGTTGCACGATTGTGTGTGATGGCGAACTTTAAGGCACAATCCTTATGAAGAGACATTTCAATGTCTACACACCTAGGGTGTGAGGTGCATGCGTCACTGAAGCTAGACAAACGTGACGAGAAGCGGCCATGTGTTAGGAACTCACGACTATTAAAGACTGACATGCACAGTAAGGGTTTGTATCCTATTAATACATCTGAGTGGGTGGATGGAGAATATTTGTTTTGCGAGGATCATTTGTTCGCCCATATAGTGTAGGCCAAAGATTTATTTTTGGTTGGTAACTGTTTGCGTCTTCAAGGTTGAAGTTTGACCAAGTGCTGCAGGCCGAAGACCTTAGAAGTGATGGGGCAATGTTTGGACCCAAAATAATGCTTTGGGGCGAGCCCATGATTGTTCTCGATACAATAAAAAGTATTAGGAATATTCCCACCATGGGCTTAGCCCAGTAGAGTTCAGCCAAATCCTATCAAAAGATGGTTCTACTTGGATAAGGGTGAAGTGGTCAAATCCTAGTACAATAAGGCTTCTTCATAAGCTAAAGATGCTTCGAATCATAAAAGATGCCGAGAGTCATGGGTTGAATATGAGTGATTAAAGAGCTTGGTTCAGAATCCTATAGGAGTTAGGATTGGTTAAGACCTAATTAGATTAGGTTGAGGAATTCTAGTTCAAGTGAAATTCTAACTCGGTCATTGAGGAAATTGCTACTATAAATAGAGAAGGGAGTGCATCATTCAAAGCCCCTCCAAATCAACACAAAATTGGCCTGTGCAAACTCTCGCTCTGCTCTAAACCTCTCAAAGACCTTGACATTTTTATTTTCCTTTTTCCCACCAGTACACCTTCAGTTTGGATAAACAGCACTGGAGCCGTAGAATCAGCCGACTGGAGGAGCACCTTCATTTTGGATAAACAGCATTGCTTCGAAACCGATTGGTTATTTATCCAAGCCTCAATCAACAAGAATTTCCGAGTCCTTGTTGGAAGAGGTCATCTCATTAGCCTTATCGGCAAAGTGAGGTGTTACGAGGTTACTTAATATTCGGCACATTAAAAGTCGAATTTGATATTGAACTTTGCAGAACTAGCAACCTTGTCTTCAAGTTTTAGAACCCTAAAATCAAGAAGTCAGCAGCGCGCCCAACGCCACATCAACACTCATTCACTCCTCAGTCGAGCTAGGCTGACGAGTTGGCACGCTCCACATTCAACCGAAGGATGTAGTTAGCTTATTAACTATTCGGCCTGCGCGCCACGTAGGCTAAGTAGGTTTTAGGGTCAAAGCATCATAACCAAATATTCTTCTCAAGTTTGGTAACTATGACAAACGTAATAAATACATATGGAAAATCATTAAGGTCTATGAAAATCATAAGTATTGATGAAGCAATTGTAATTATGAAAAGCATGACACTCTTGCCAAGAATTTTACTTTTTCAACATCTTAGGCATTGTCGAGTGTTTCCTTTGGTCTCAGTGCCAAGAAGCCTTAAGAAAGAGTCATGGATTTATCAATGAAGGCCCAACTCCCATGCCTTTGGATTAAGGAAGAGAGCCTAGAGAAGTGGGGAAGGGAAAAAAGAGAAAATAGGAAGGTTTTTAGTCACAGAGGGGTTTTAGTACTTCCATGCCAAACTTTTGGCTCAATAGGATTCTCTCCCTTCCCATTCTCCTCTCCTCTGGTCCCCTCCTCTTTTTTTCCTCTTTTACATTCTCTCTCTACAGCAAAAACAATAGAAAATATTGACGTGACTTAATCTTTTCTTACAAGCCCCCTTCCCATTCTCCTCTCATCCAATCCCCTCCTCTCTTTTTCCTCTTTTACATTCTCTCACTACAACAAATACAATAGAAAACATTGACGTGACTTAATCGTGAACAATCAAATATGAAGGGATTGGATGGGAGGGAAAATGGAAGAGAAAGAGAATCTGGATCCTGTTGGCTAAAATTCTATGCGGGCCTAATATTTTAGCTATTTTTCCAAATTGTACAAAAAGGTTAAAGATCATACAAATCTCTCTCAAAAATGATGATACAAATGTTTAATGCCACTTTTGCATTGGTCTCAAGGTTGTTAAATGGTCATTTACAAAGAACATCAAGCTGCTACTTCAACCATATATAGTAAGAAAAGCAATTGAATTAAATTACATTGATGAGTCAGATCAAATTACAAGCTATAAGCCGGAGATGGATCTGTCTGACTCTCTACAAGGATTGAAACTAAAATCTCGTGTGGTGAGAGAATGAATGAATGAAGACGTCGCTTCTAAAACTATGGCTATTTGATAATTCCACAACACCGCTCAAAATTTGAATGGAAAGCCGAAAAAAATCTCAGCAAAACATTTCTGCTTGGTTTTCTATGCACGAGAGCTACTTTACAGTCATGCCAAAGCACTTTTAGAGTCCCAAGCATACCTCTGGCTTTCAAGCTGGAAAAAAAAATGATGATATTGAGGTACCATTTCACACTCAAGTCATGAGATGCAACCAAGAACTCGATGTCGGAAGCATATTCCATTACTTGAAGTAGTCCTGCCGAAGAATAGTGATGAAATTAGGGGTTGTGCCATCCTCATCCTTCTGCTTCCATTCCCCATTGCTTTGTATGTACCATGATACTTTCGGAGATAATGGTGTGTACAAATCTGCATGTTTCAGATTCAAGGAAAATGTAAACATTTTTTTTGGAAATATGCACACCATTGAAGGCAGTAGTATTACTACCTATGGAATTTAATTCATCCAGGAATCATATTCACTCATGATGATGCACAACACTGCGTATTGTACTTTAAAGATGTGCATAACGATCACAACCGTTTGACCATCAAAATCAGAGTCATTGCTGTTCTCAAATATGGTTTTTATTACACAACGGGTCATCAAAATAATTTTTTCTATTTCAGGAACATGTTACTCTGGTAAAACACCAAACTTTGGCCTTCCCCTTTGAACATTTACCCAACTAAAGAACGAAATAGAAGCCAACTAAAACAGCAAAAGAACAAGACTAAATAACAAAAGCATCCCGATTAGAATAAATAACATGGCAGGATAACCCAAAATCTAAAGAAACTGAAGCGCACAGGGATGCCAATAACCATATGGACTGGTGATATAGTCCTGAAAACATAAGGAAGTCTCTCAACTCTGAAATACTGGGGAAAACTAATCCCGACCCCCAGTATGGATCTTATTAAGCACTTGTCCCATATTGGTTGGGCTAAGCATTTAACAAAGCTATACACAGCTAGTTTGTCTCTCCACTTAACAGCTTCAGCATTTATGTTGAAAACGTCAATAGATCTTATAACTATTTGGTTCCAAATTTGAACACTTGTACTCAGACAATACAGGGAGAAAACTTTTGTAGGTAATTGTCAACAAACAGGATAAGGCTATGCATCAAACATTAAGTAATAACAGTACAGCACTAAGCTTCTAAATTACAGGTCAGTCCCTATTTAACACCTAAGAATCTTCAAAATGACATGCAATCAGACATACAAGATACAAACCTGTAATTAAAGGTGGATCTGGCTCTCTTGTACTATGCAATATAGCAGTCCCAGATAACACAGTGATGAAACCGCAAAATTCTGATGCTATGCTGCTCACACTTTGACCCGAATAATCCTAACAAAAGGGTATGCATTTTAGATTTAATACATAACGGTTAGTCTCTCTCTCTTGCTCACACACACAAAAACACATCATGAGGACGTGATGATACCTTAAACATTATTGCACTGGCAAATATTGTAAAAGATGTGAACATTGCATAATATATCGGAGAAACAATTGCTGTGTTGAAAGTATCCAACGCCTGCAACCACACAGAAAACATTATAAGTGGTTTATACAGGTGATGAATGCAGCACTTCATGCATTCACATGCTTACACAGAAACAAAATATTAGATAAACTTCATATGTAGTTGGATGGGGTACAGATTTGCTTTAATTACCAATATAATGCAGAATAATTTCTGCTCGGATGACTTTTCTTTTATGAGAATGTGAAACCAAGATTATATTAATTCCTGTGTAAAAGTTCAAGGCAGAGAACGAGATTTACACTGTACACAGCCAAAATTCTAGCCCTCTTCTGGCGAAATCACACAACAATAACATAACCTCCCCCTCATAAAAGAAGCCCTCCAATTTGCAAAAAAGGATTCTTACCCAACATCATCTCATCCTCTTCCCTTAAGTGTTAAAATATCCTCCTATTTCTTTCCAATCAAACTACCTAAAACACAGTCATCACAGCACATCTGTCCCCAAGACTTCCCCCTTCTTCCTTCCCCAGAAGACACTTGTGTCTTTTGCAAATACTTGCTGATGTTGGTGTTTCACTTTGTTTAGCTAACAATATGTTAACAGGGGATGTTTGTGTTACAAAAATTAAAGCCTCAAGCAATTGTACTTTAACTTATGAAGGTATAAAGTTTATTCTAAAAATGCATTAAACTTCAGGGTGATTCTTCCGTTATTCTAGTTCAGGTATAATGGTAGCTTAAGATCTGAACCTCTCTTCCTTCAACAATCTATAAATAACATTTTGCATCCCAAAGCTTAGGGAAAAAAAAAACAATTAATTCAGAGGGCCTAAACATGATAAATAGTCCATACAAAGACTAACAAAGTACAATCATGCAACCACATTTAGAAGCAATCACAAGGGCCCACTTTTTTCATTGAAAAAAAACACCCCTATTAAAGAATAATAATACAATCAGGTTAATCCTTACAGCCTAGGATTTAGCTCACAGATTTTGGGTCTCAACCCAAATCCCTGGTTCTAAAAACCCTAAGCCACAAGCTTTGTCGACCCCACCCCGGACCCCAACAACCCCACAAAGTCCCAGGGAAAAACCCAGTTCCTGACTCCAGCCCAAGTCCCTGAATTCGTTTAAGAAACCATACCAACCCAAGTCCCTGAATTTGTTCGAGAAACCGTGTTAAAGTCCCAGGGAATTCGATTCCTGGCCGAATTGCAACAGACCCATCATCAACAAGAAGAGAATGAAAGTCTATGGTGGGTAGGTTTCAAATCTGGGTTATGCGTGGGGGTTGGGGCAGTGGAATAGGGAAGGAGCCAAAAATCGTTTGAACAAATTTATTTAGAGATAGATGAACCTAGAAAGAGGACAGAAAACTGATAAAACTTTTGGAATTCATTATCCCAAGAAGACAAAGAACCCAGAAAAAAAAATAATAATAAATAAATTTGTTGTTCTTATGGTACTTTAGGGACATAATCGGGCTCAGAATTGAGGTGAGCCCTAAGCCAATCCCTAATTAATTATTCATGTACAAGAAGAAGATGATGATGAATTGAAGCCAATATCTAATGGATTTTCACTCTGGCTGTGTTTCTGTTCTTTGTGAGCTGTTCCAAATGTACTTGCCTGGTTTGGTGGTTGAAAACGAAAAGTCAGGGAATTTGATGAAAAATGTGGGATAGAGTTCTAAGCAGCAAAAACGCAAAACTGGGTGGATTTCATGGTTCAAATTGACGAGCTTTAATGAGCTTTCATACGCATACACTTTAATGAGCTCTCATTCTTCGTAATCGTGATGAATCCACCTCTAATTTGAGCAAAAACACAGAAACTGGACTCAAACTTCCAAGAAGCTCAGAGACTACAGAGTGGAAGATGGAGATGAAGAGAAAGAGAGGTTGCTGGAGAAGAAGACGTGGATAAGATGTGGGCCCATAATTGCAAGCTGGAAATTTGCATCCACGTCACTAAAATTATGGACCTTATATTTGATGCGTCATCACTTAACGGTCAATTTAACAGATTATGTAACAGATGTATGCTATTGAAATGGAATGATAAGTAACGTATGAAACAGAAATGTTTTAAAGATGTTGTATGAGGTTGTAATTGCACCCAAACTTGAAGGGATGAAATGTAATTTACCCAAAGAATAAACATATTTTCATTGGAGAAGGGCACAAAAAATAATTTCACTCTAAGAATTAGTAGTCAGTTTCTCTCTTCAACTTGACTCTTGCAGGGTTTCTTTTTTATAAAAGGTATAGTTGTAACTCTGTGAGAGTGATTTTACTAATTATGGCATGTATTATAATCTAAAAACATTTAGACAGTCTTCTTAAACTTCGTGTTCACAATAATTACTATCTCTAAGAATTTTGAATCAAAATTCCATATTCATAATAAGAGAGACACAGATGCATATAATATCTGAGACATATTTAAAACATAGAAAAGAAAAGAACACAAAGCTTACATGATGCAATATAATAGACAATAACAAGATACGAACCATGTTCAGATAATTTAATTGAGTGATGATACAGGTAACTGCAACCATTCCAAAAATCCATGTTTGGAAGTATTTTAGCTGGTTTGTGCCCTCTATTGTGAGTTCTATAGCAATCCCAATTGCTTTTACACTCATAACCTGCAATATGGAACAACTAATCAGATGAGAGAGCCAACGTTACTTTAAAAGTGATGTATGGTAAATTTTTGTGCACGATGAAAAAACAATATTGATGAAATCGTTATCTTAACAAAAAGGTGGCTATAGTGGTAGAATAACTCACTGTCAACGATCCTATTATAGAACAGATTCCTATATAAATCAGTATATTGGTTTGGCCATAGCGGGGAGCACAATACAACATCAGAACTAATGTTACAGCTACCACCGAGGCTGTATACAAAAGAAATGCTGAAGGCAAGAAAGAGAACCAATCAGAAGAGAAGAAAAAAGAAGAGGAAAATAAGCATCCGTTAGTTATTAACCTTTTAGAGCATACCAGGTTGTATTGCTAATTCCCAGATTTCTTCAACGGAACTGAGAGATTGCTCTTCAGGCGAATGGAGTACAATCACAGTCGAACCCACTACACATAAAAGACACCCCAACATTCCCATTTTCTGGAGTTTCTCCTTCAACAAAAAATGCGCTAAAACAGCACTACACATATGCATCCACAGTTGAACTTGTCAGAAATATGGTTTGACGATTGAAATATACAAATATAGGTTTATTCAGATGTACTAAAATTGGGAAATGAAATGTACCTAACAATAATGCTCAATGCACCAAGCGGGGTGACCAGGCCAGCAGGTGCGTAAATGTATGCTACAAAATTGGCTATCTCTCCAACAACCACTGTAAATTGTCCAAAATTACGATGATCATCAACATGCAATATTATTCAACATCCAACCCCGTCTAGCAGCGGAAAAATGAATTGAAGAAAGAAAGGGTCAAATTTTCCAACTGAAATGAAATAGTAGGAATAAAACTTAACCGCAATCTAAATGAAAATTCCAAAAGCATAGCATAGCCCTAGAAGTAATTAAATTAAGCAGAACCAGGAGCAAGGAAAACTTACTTGTTACCATTCCTATCCACCATAGAGGCTCTAACAGATACCCATATCCTCCCACACCTTTCATACATTAACAACGAAAGCGAGAAAACAAGAAAAATTAACATCAAACAGAGTCAAATCATCATAAATATAAAAGGAAACTGCCTTGAGAAAAAAAAAATGAATGAACATACTGGCTCGAGGGCCGTTGACGCCGGCCCGGCGGAGACCCTTCTTCTTGATGATGAAGCTGGAGCCAATGAAGGCGCTCGAGACGACGGCCAAGATGAAGCCTTTCAAATTGCTTGAGTACATCGGCTTGGTTATTTATATTATTTTTTGGGATGGGAGGGGAGGGAAAGGGTAATAATTTGGAGCTATGAATTCAGAGGAGTATGGAGCGGAAGGAGTAGTAAAATTGCCAAATTGGTGGGGTTGCGAGTGGAAGAGAGAACGGGAGCCGGAGCGACACTCATTCTACATACAAGAATTCCCACAATTCCCACAATTCCCAATTAACAAAATCAAAACCCAAACCCTCGAATTTTCTTTCTTTTTATTCGACTCAGAAGAAGAAGAACAATTGGGGAATTGGGGAATTGAGAAATTGAGAAATTGAGAAATTGGGAATTGGATGATGGAATTGGTAGACTACTCCTACTCTCACTGTGTGTGTGTGGTTTGACTTTTGACCAGACCAGATGGATCTGATTTCTGCGAATCGGCTCTCTGAAATGCCAAATGCGAAATGCGAAATGTGAAACAAAGAGGGAGATGGCTTGATTTCTCACCTGCCAGTCCTCAGCCCTACCTTCCGTACCAGTCAATTTTCAACCGAGCTTTGCTATTGACATTGTTTTGCCCATTATTATTATTTTACTCACGCATTTAGTTAGTACAAGACCAATTTTGGTTTCTAATATATATACATTGTTTAAAATTTCTTAGAAATATTAAAAAATTAAAAAGATATGAAAATGAGACTTCACCTCATATCGGACAAACTATTAAGTTTAGATTGAAGTTTACATGTATAGTCAATATTTTTTACATATCTGTTAAATATCAGATAAACTCTTATATTTTGTCCAAATTAATGTTTGACAATTTATAAACTTTCATTTTAAATTTCTATCATTTACATTGAAAGCAACCGATATCGATATCGATCTTCGGTATATCTGTTGATATTTTCATAAATTTGCATATCAATGTTTTCACCGATACCGATATTTTAAACACTTTATATGGGTCATGGATTAAACTTCGATTTCGGTGGATATCGGAAGCCCAATGGACATTTTTTTGGGGGGGGGGGGTGGTGTTTATTGGACATGGGCGTTTCTAAGGTGCTGACGTTGAAAAGGACTTTGTGTGCGAACTGTAATCCGATGGTTGTGATTTGTTGATCTCACAGTAGAAGTGGGTTGTTATGACCCGATGTAATTAAAACAAATTTTTTTTATTCATTGGGTATGTGTTTGTCGAATAGATCGGGGGAGCCGGGGAATTGAGGGATTTTATTCGCTTATTGAAGAGGGAAAGAGAGGCAAAGTGACACACCCCAACCCGAGATGTCCACTAGGACTCCGAATCGAGCTGTGTTGGCTGACACCTGGAGGGTGACGAAGCCATAAAGTGTGATGATATGGTAAAATTGTGAATCAATTTAAACCTAAGAGTGCCTAAATACCAGAATACGCTGGTGAGCGGGAATGAACCCACTTCACACGTGACATTAGAGCATAAGTAAGTATAGTAGAGGGAATTAAGAATCGTACCCTCGGAATGATTTCCAATACTAAGAATCGCCACGAATCTTCGACGATAAGAAAGCTCAGCTAATAAAACCTGGAGGGTGAAAACAAAACATGGGTGAGTGGTCCTGGAAATAAAGTTTTAATAGAAACCATATAAAACATTATAACCCCTCGCTACAACACCTATATAATTTCCAGAAAAATCATACCACATATCAATGTGAATTCAAGAGTATATCAATTGTAAATCCATAATTATGCTACAACACAGCATCTCATCAGTAATACCAATAATCATGTGATTAATAACCCACACTAGCACGCAAGTCGGAGTCACCTATGGTGACCCGTACGACTGCACCCATTTCTCATCAATCAACGCTAGCATATAAGTCGGAATAACCTCTTGTGACCTATACGACTTATCCATATTCCATTACATATGCTAGCTCATCACATATTTCATCACGTATGCTAGCTGACACACCCTAACCCGAAGACTAGGACGTGCTGGCCGTCACGTGAGCGTGACGTAACCATAACGCAAGCGGAAACGATTTAATAATAAAATACGAGTCAACGAAAACCACTAATTGCAGTTATTTACAACCTAGCATTCTATGTGCATAAGAGTGTACTAAACACACATAAACAGAGCATAAGCGTCTAGGTGCAGTCAAGTAGGATCATAACTATTTTACAACACCCTCGGGTGAATCCTACATTTACTTAGTCTGTCAGAACGCCGAAGCAGTCCTCGTAGGCCACCAACGCCACAACTATCAACTAGAACCTGGAGGGGCGAAAAACAGAAAACGTGAGTGGGCGAAAATAAACTTTTCCAAATCATTTCATAAATCCACAATTATAACCCCTTTTTGGAAAACCTGTATACTTTCCCAGAAAAATAGTATATAGCATATATATCTCAACTGTCTCGATCATCAATCTTATAACAGATTCAATAAAGAATGTACCATGCCAATTTCAACAGTTTAGTATGAATGCCTTAACATAATATAATCAGGTAAAAGAAATAATCAATCGGAGGCCCTCTAATAGCCCTGAACGATTGAACCTAGAGCTCAACATCTATCAATCTCACTCTGCCGGAGTCACTCCGCGTGACCTGTCCGGCCTTCTGCACATAAGTCGGAACCACCTAATGTAGTCTGAACGACTCATGGTAATATTCGCTCTAGTGCTTCTCTCATCATTCATCTGTATACAATAACCTAAGGTCACCCACCAGTCATAATCTCACTGTTGGAAATGTGCCCTAAAACCAATCATATGATGATACTTTACGGACATTTCAAATGTTAAACTAATCTAGTTTAATATATAAAGGGCAAAGATTATTGTTTGAGCCGTCTCATATAAATGTTATATGCTTAAACGATAAAGTCCAAGGAATATGTGATTGGGAGAATGCAATCTAATGAAGTTAGATTAATGAGACCATTCTTTCGTAGACACATCCTAAATGTTCCTGATCATAGGATTACCAATTGGGCATTGACAGTCCGTTAAGATCAGTACGTACTGTGTCTTCTCTCAGGGAGAGTGACTAGTCTCGAGTCATTGGTGTGTGTGACATCAAGACAAGTACGTAGGTGCTCAATAAGAGAATGAGTTCACTGAACGTGATCAACGAAGAGTTCTTATATTCCATGTCACATGAGAACTCATGGTTGGGATAATGCAAAGTAGTCCTTTGACCTGAGGCATCACAGTTGTCTTGTGGTTAAGTCCTTAATCTTTGATTATGTCTAATTCACCCCTCGGGGTGTCACGGCATCGTTGGGGTTAAGCCACTTAGCTATGGAGACAAGTGAATGTGCAACAAGGGATCTCTAACCTTCAAACAGTTGAGGGAGAATACTCTATGATATGATTTGGAATCTCTGGCCAGAGTATGAATGAGATTGGGGAATGCGTTCCAAATCACATTCAAGGAAATCATATAAGCAAACGATTCACATTGGATAGTAGACATGAGTAAATAAACTATCATGCCAAACAATGTGGTCAAGAGTATTAGATTAGAAAAGGACCGTATTGCATTTGTAATCCCGAACTGAATAGGTTCTCCACCTCTTCTGATTAGCTTGGGTAACCATGATATGCTGCTAGGTGTCACTCATGGTTTGTGGAAGCCCTAAACGTGTGTAATCACTAAAGGGAGAATTGAAAATAGTTTCAATTCACAATCGATGTAAAATGGTTTTAATCGCCCACTACCTCGCTAAAAGGAACCTAATGGATCGCACACCGTAAAAGGTAGAGATTGGAGATTAAACGGAAATGAGTAAGAATGATTAAATGGTTTAATCATTTAATTATGGCAAGGATTAATTAATATGTTAATTAATCAAACGAATAAGTTCGTTAAAGACTTCGGGATAGTTTTGGACCTTAAGGCCCAATGGGCTTCGAACGTCAAGCCCATTAACTTAAATTGTATGACAATTTAATGAATAAAGATTCATTAAAGCCCAAAAGCCCAAACATCCCTAAATGGCCGGCCATATTAGATGAATTAGGGTTTTGGTTGTTTAGGTTACTTAAAGAAGTGACTATATAAATGACTTTATAGCCAAAATTCATTAAGGAAAAATTAAGGGTTTATTTTGGGGGAAAATTGGTGAGAATTGTCTCTCCATTTTCTCTCTAAAGAGGCCAACACCTTGGAGGGTACATCTAGCAATCCTACTACTCCAAGGTCACTCATTTCTTCTACAATCAAACCTTGGTGAAGAGACTTAGAGGTTCCCTATTTTGGGAACTTGGAGAAACCTATTTTTCCATCCAAATCCATGGATCTAAGAAGCAAGGAATGAAGGCCCTATCTCTTTGGGTGATTAGCCTTTGCTTATGCAAAGAGGAATCTACAAAGGTAATAATTTCAACTCACTTTGTTTTGAGTTGATTATTGGTTCACCAATCTACTAGGCTTTGAATTTCATGGTAATGTTTTGTTTTTGAGTGCATGCAAGCATGATTCCGCCTTTAATTGTTAATTGCATGCTATATGATGTTGCTCAAATGAACATGTTTTTCAAAATAATCCCTTCAAGTGGTATCAGAGCCTAGGTCTAGTAGTTGGTGAATCCTTTTGGGTTTTGTAGTTCATAAGTTTGTGATTTAAAAGTTGTAATTGTTACAAGCTTTATTCTTGCTTCTTTGAAAGTAAATTTTGTTGGAAAATTTGCTATCTCAAATGTTGTAGATGTTGTTCATATGAGCATGAATATTGGAGCTAAAATTTGGTGCCATGCTTTTGGGAAAATTCGGCCAAATCCAAAGGGTGAAATTTTGGGTTCTTGTTTGACTTGTTAAAAGTGTTTTAATGTGTTCTTTGGAATCCCTAAGTACCCTAGTTTGGTTAGATGTTATTTCCCTTAAGTAAGAATGGTTTTGGAATGTTTTTGGGTGAAAAAAGTTCATGGAAAAATTTGGGTTTTTCATGGATGTTCTTCATTGTTCTTGATGTTCTTGCCAAAAAAAAAAAAAAAAAAAAAAAAAGGTTTGGTGTTTTGATTCAAAGTTTTGATTTATTTCATAAAGTTTATGATATATGTTTTTCAAATGATTTATCATGTATTTAAAGTGTTAAATATTTGTATAAATGATGATGGAAACATCAATCATCAAAACATATATTATTTTTATGAAAGTATTTAAAGTGTTAAATATTTGTATAAATGATGAAAGAAATATCAATCATCAAAACATATATTATTTTTATGAAAGGTGAAAGCACTACTTGATTGTTTTTGACAAAACTAATAAATCAAAACATCCACCACTCCTTTTTATCCCTAAAAACCGGCCACCCTAATAAAATAGGGTATTTTTTGGGGCTTTTATGCAATTACATAAAGTTTTTGATACTTTTGTGTATTTGTACTTTGACCCGAAAGTTTACGTTTTGACGTTAAGGCCTAAAAACGCTAAAGGACAAATTGTTTTGCTCCTTTAATGAAGTTTTGAATTTATTTTTAAATTTTGGGTTCTAGTTGTATTTACATGAAGTAGTGACTTTTGTGTTTTTACAAAGTGACCCCAAAAGTTTA